ACCCTGGTGATTTCCTCCTGGGCAAAGAGCAGTCACCGGGTGGGCACCTGGGGCGATGGCTAAGGCATGGAGAGCTCCCATCTCCATGACAGTTTGTGGCCTGTGTGGTGTTCTTACAAAAACGTTCAAGAGGAGTAGGGCAGGGATTCTGATTCCCGTTTTATAGATGAGGAGACTGAGGCGGTGAAAAGTGGCTAGGACTGACTGGCCTTGGGCCTTCTGAAGGAAGCTGAGGTGCCACTAGGCTTGCGCCCCTTTCTTTCCTGCAGGGAGGTCAGCCATTGCTGCGCGCTGGGCCAGGGGAGGGTTGCAGGGATGGCCACAAGACAGAGAAGTTATCCTGGCAGCCAGAATGGCCCTCCCCCTCTTTATGCTCAGGGGAGTAGCCACATGGCACGTCAAGGTTTGCATACACTTGCCTGTGTTATCTGATTTGTTCATCACACTCGCCGGGGGAGGTAGCCTGGTTAAACAGGCTGAGAGAGGGCGAGTGACTTGCCCAGAGGCTCTTGGCTCACACACGTCTGAGTCAGGCTGCCAGCACAGCTCTGTGCGCTGTGTCGTCTAGTGGCCCCATGGGGTCCGGACCGTTGATTTAAACCTCATGCCTCCCCTCCCATTTGTCACAGGGTTTTGCGCCCAGGAGGCTCTTGGTAAGTGATTTTTGAAGAACGGAATGAGAGGCTATGGGAAGCAAGATTTAAGGAAAGGCAAACCCTTGGGCACACCCTGGCGCAGGAGGCTGCCTGAGGAAGCATGGACAGCAAAGGCTCCCGGCCCTTCGGGCACTGGACAGTTGGAGCACAGGTGGGGGGGGAGCTCTTGAACCTCACGCAGTCCCAGTTTCCTCATCTGCACAATATTCTCTCCGTCCTTGGCCTGTGTGAGGAACAGTGTATATTTGAAGTCGGGATTGTCCTTATCCCCAGGCTTCACACTCAGCCAGTATTAATTATCGCCGGTTTGGATTCCGCTCTTCGGTTCCCACCAAGGCCCCGCCTTCACCTGACCCACGGACCCACAGCTGCCCTTCCTGGGGTGCAGCTGAACAGACTTCAGGGCTCCAGTGAAATGCGGCTGCTCGGGCCAGCCCTGGAAGCCCAGGACTGCGACCCATCCAGGAGCAGCCGGTCTCCCCTCCCCTTAATGAGCTCAGGAGAGCTCCCCATCCCATCCCCTTAGGGAGAGCAGAGCCGTAATGAGCCTTTGTGGCCCCTGGGGCTCGAGTCAGCTTTGTAATTCAAGGTGTGAAAATGATACAGTAATTAAGACAAAGTCAGTTGAGTGGGTGGGAGAATTCCTTACCCTGGTGACTTCAGCCACAGTCAACAAGCTTCTATTCAGCCTCCCTGGGCACCCCCACCTGGGTCTAACATCTGGCACCCCCTAAATTCCCGCGTCCTGGGGCAAAGCCCTGGAGGCTCAGCCCTAGGTATGGCTATGTGGGCCAGGGAGATGGCTTCTTTCCCACTTCATCCCGAGTGCCTGCAGGAATAGTTCAATAGAAAGGGTTCTGAATTTGAAGTCAGAGGCTCTGTGTTCAAAGTCTGCTACCCACTAGTTCTGTGACCTGCAGCAAGTTGCTCAGCCTCTCTGGGCCTCAGTTTCTTCATCTCTAAACTGGGGAGAATAGTACCTGCCCTAGTCACCTCACAGGGCTATGGTGAAGATCGAACTTTTAAACAAAGAGCTACAGAAATGTGGGCAGTTATGAGTGCCCATAACAATTGTACTTCCCACTCAAAGCCTGGGCTATATCAGGTGCGCCTCCAAGCCACACAAAGTGATGTCCATTCCTCCTTAAAAAATCCAGCCTCCTAATAGGAATGTATATGTAGAGCCTATAACGGATTGCATGCTGTCTTGAGGAGGGTGGTGGGGAGGAAAGGGGAGAAAAATTTAAAACTCGAAAGTTTATGGAAGTGATTGTTGATAAATCAAAATAAATTAATTGAAAAAAAAATCCAGCCTCCACACCTTTGCACCTCCAGGGCCCAGCTCCCTTCTAAACCTGCCCAGAATTCCTACAGTCTCTGAGCTGTGTGCGTCCTTGGGGGCATCTAGGCCAGCCCTCGGCCTGAAGATTCCTCTTCATAATCCCTCTGCCTCTAACAGGAGGTCATCCATGTTCTGCTCTCAGACCTCCCGGGACCCATGCACTTGACCTCCTCATTCAGCCCCTCCCATTATGGAACAGCTCCAAATATCTCCTACCTGCTGAGCTTAGATCTGGGAACATCTCTGCTCATAACCTTCAATGGCTCCCTCTATCACCGCTCAAATGAGACAACAGAGATGAGCCTCGTGGTCAACCAGAAAGTGCTGAAGCCTAGAAGCTCGCTGGGCAGCCCCCAGGTCCCCCTCTGGCTCCTGCCTCCTGCCCTTCAGACCCTGCACATCCCAAGCCTGTTGCCCATGGCCGCATCTCATCTTGTGTCTATGCCTTGTTTTCGCCATCCCCCGTGCCCAGGATCTCTGCCTCCCCCCTCTCTATGAACTCTGACCCTCAAGACCTAGCTGAGGGCCTGCCTCCTCCATGAAGCCACCCAGGACTGTCTCAGGGACCTGCCTGGACCTCTCCTTTCTGCTCTGCACTTTCCCTTATACTGTAGAGATTTCTGGCTGTGGCCCACAAGGCTGTGGGCTAATACTCACGGCCCTTCCAGGCTCCTCAGATTCCTCTGCATGGGCCCCTTCTCCCTGGCCCTAAGCCCCAGTCACTCCATCCTTGGATAACCCACCCTGCATCCCAGAGCGCCCTGTAATGAGCTGCCCCACGTGGGTAAGAGCCCAGAGTGCCCTCCACACTGCTGTGAATAGTAGGAGCCATGGCTCACTCCGAGCCTCATAAGGACTTGTAGGGTGCTGCTGGACACACAAGACAGTTGTGGGGCTCTTTATTTCACACTTCTACCAAAAATGACAATGGGGGGGCAGAAAATACATTCATTGCATTATTGTAGGAACATGGCTACATACCCAGGGACCCCAGAGCGTAAGGATTGTGTCTCGACCCAGGGTTTCTTTACAGCGCTCAACTGTCCCTTCTAATCACCCCAGGATTCCATGGACCCAGCTGGCTGGGGCTGGGTTCTAGGGCTGGGTTCTAGGCCTGGGGCTGGCATGGCGGGGCTCGGTTCTAGCTGACCAGCACATGCAGGCACTGGCTGTGTTTCTTTGGGTTGGGATGTGTGCGAGCATGCGGCTAGAAAGAAGGGAAAGGCCCTTTTCTGCTTCATCTATGCCAAGCTCCCTTTCTCACCACCTCAGCTCAGACCAGCAGCGGCCGAGGCCGACATCGGGCCGTCCCTTCCGAAGAGGCAATGCGGGCTGGGCCACCGTCGGGCTCGGGCCCCGGGAGGGGAAGCGCCCGCTTTTCCCTTGGTGGGCTTTTCTCACCCCATCCTACCCCCATCCAGCACAGCTCCGGGCAGATCATGCTTAGGACAGAAATGAGCGAAAGGAAGAAAGCGTTGGGTCTTATACACAGAGGCAGGGCCTGATCCCTCGCGGCGAGGCTGGCCCAGGAGCCGACTCTCAGAACCAGTATTCAGAGACAAAGATGTGGACGTTGACCACGTTGCGGTGGGAGACCACCCCACCCACCACATAGTTCATCTCCAGCTTGAGTGTGACGTAGAAGGGGCCCACGATGGGACGGATCTGACGCACCACGCCTGCCAAGAGCAAGGACAACTGGGTCAGCAGAGGCCCTGTGAGGATGCCTGCCCTTCCCCCACCCCATGACCCAGCACCCAGGCACTGGCCAGGATGCTGAGCGCTCCAGGACCGAGCAGAAAGTCGTTCCTGTGCTCCCCCGCTTTCCTGTCTCAAGGCGCAGGTGTTCTTTTATTATCCTAATTGGTCAGAGGATTCCAGAGCAGCAGGCCTCAAAGCCAGAAGGAACTGCATTCAAATCCTGCCCCCCATGCCTCCCTCCCAGCCAAGGGGACTGCTGACCCCCTGCTGCATTGGAGGGACTTCCCTCCTCTGGAAGTTCCCTTTGCTAAAGAAACCGATCCCAGGTTAGGTCGGGTTTGGAGGCTGGATTAATTCATTCAGGATATTGTGACCCTGGGGGCCATGAAGGGGGCTGGGGGGATTCTGTTGAAGGTATCCTCCTGTACTTGGGCTCTGGGCTCCCCGCACCCCATACTGTGATGGGCGCCTGGCCCAGCCCTTCCAAAGCATCCGCTGAAAGCGCTCACTGGGGGCGCTTTCCACCCTGGGAGCTCACTGCCTGGGCCCTTGAGCCTCGGTGGGCCTGCTGGGTGAGTCAGCCCCGAGATCGATGGCCTTTCCCCGAGTGTCCTCAGCCCTCCCGGGTGGGTCCACATAGTACCGAAGACGCTATCAAAGGCCACCTTTGGTCTGGAAAGCTGGGGGTGCCTCCTCTGGGCCATCAGCAAACTGGCTTCCTCTGGCCATCCGCCCTGGGTCTGGGCAGGCGGAGCCTCTGGGGGGCTGGCCTCATGGGAAGTGGGAAGAATTATGGGTATGGAGTTGGAGGGCCGGGCTTCAAATCCTAACTCTGCTTGTGGTCACCTGTGTGGCCTTGGGCTTTCCCTAGCCCTCTCTGGGCCTCGGGCTCTGTCCAGTGAAGGGCGTGGCTCTGAGGTCCCTTCTAGCTTTCAATCTGGGACCCTGGGGTTGTCTCACCCCACAGTCCATGGTTTCCAATGCTCTTTCCTAGTAAATGTCTCCATTTTTACGAGGGAGGAAACTGAGGCCCCAGAAGCTGAGAGACTGGCCTAAGGCCCTCCCTGGGGTCGGATGTGCACACCTCCATAACCCTGGGCCTTCCTGCCCTGAGGGATGCATTTCCTTGGCCAGGCTGCAGTCAGGAGCAGCCTCATTCTAGTCCCAGAACCCCGGGTTCTCAGCAGGAAGGACAGACTCTCGGGCGGCTGGTCCCAGCCCTCCTGAAGCATGAACCGTAGGTCTGAGAGGTTGTCGATTATCCAGACTCTGCTTTCGTGATGGGGAGCTCATTACCTTCCGAGAAAGCTGCTTCCACGGGGGCCATCTGCCTTCCCAGAACCTCCCCCAGTGTCGCTTCTTCTGCCTCTGAGGCTGACCCCTCATCCACGTGGCTGCCTGGGGAGGGGGGCAGACAATCACCACACCGGCCCTGACCTCTTCTCCAGGCTGACTGCCCAGCTCCTTCCAACGGTCTTCCCAGGCGTGGCCTCTCTCACCTGGGTTGTCCTCTTCTCTGGCAGGGCTCCAGGCTGCCCGAGTCCTCCCTTAAACAGGGCGCCCACCGACGGAGGCTGCCCAGGACTTCTGGGAGCCCCCCTCACTTGACCCAGGAGGACAGGGAGGCGGGCGTGGGCTGAGGGAGCCCATCCCCCACTGCGGGTGCAGCACCCCTTCCGCTCAGCTCAGCTCGGTCCTTCAGTGACACTGACCCTCCTGGGAGCCGACTTGGCAGCCGGCCACGGGCAGCTCTCTCCCCCGGTGACTCGCTCCCCCGGTGACTAGTCGGACAAAGCTCTTGCCTAATCCTGAGGATTTGGCGTGAAAGCCTCACAGAGCCGATCCATCACCACCGGGAGGACGGCTTGGCGGCTGTTTTCAGGGGGAATTTCTGAATCAGGAAGTGAGCACCGGCGCAGTGGAGCCTAATCCTAGGCCAAGCCTTCGGAGTAAGTCCAGGGGAAAGGGTCACAGTGGCCTCTTTGACCCCTTCCAGGGTCCTGATTTTCCAAAGCTGGGCTTGTCCCGAGATTGGGCTCAGGCGTGGATTGTGCCCCGTGGCCTGCCATGAAGGGAGCCCCACAGCCTTTCCCCTGCAAGCCTGGACCCAGGCCTTCCACGGCCCTCTCAGGAGCATCTCCGTCCACTCAGCCCACTCTTCCTCCATGCCCTCTGGAGGGGCCCTAACCACAGAAGCCTTGGGGCTCCGGTCCGGGCTCCGGGAGTGTGGCCCTGCCCACCTTGTGTCCCCATTGCACAGGGAGGTTTTACAGCCTGGGGCTGGGGGCTGGCCTCAAATCCCCGCTTTCCCCCCATTCTCTCTCTCTCTCCAGCTGGAGTTCCATTGCTGCCACCTTATCCTCCACGGCAGCTGTGGGCTCTACCCCCAGGAGAACAAATTCCCCCTCTCCCACATCACTCAGTGTCTCACCCTCCCAGGGGGTGTCAGGCTCATGTGACCCAAGAGGATCTAGTTCATGAAGGGGCTGGGCCAAGGCCCCATCGGCATGAAACAGCAGAATTCGGATTTGGACCTGCACCCTTGGACTCCCAAACCAGGATTCTTCCTCCTGCAAAATGCTGGTTGGAAGGGACCGTCCAGGTCCTCTGGTCAAACTCTGGCCCCAGTGAGGAATCCTCCGGACAGCCTGGCCGGCGGTCAGGGGCCTCTGCTTGGGCTCGGGGGTCAGAAGACTGGGCTGCAGCTTCCTCCTCTGTAAAACTGGGGGGGCCTTGATCCAGCCCCAGAACCGCAGAGTATCGGAGCAGGAAGGGACCCTGACCGGTGGCCTCAGAGGCCTCTCTGGTTCTGGGTCTGGTCCCATGATCTATGCTGGCTGGCCTCTGGGAATGGACAGCTCCCCCACTTAGGAAGACATACCCAAAGTCTGGAAGCAGTGGGGTGAGAAGCAGGGAGTCCAAAGAGCTGGCCTCAATCCTCGCCCTGCTGCCTCTCTCTGTGGGCCTGACTTCTCCCTCGGCTGGTAAAACTAGCTCTCGGAGGGGGATTCAAGCTGCAGATCTCGAGATCCAAATTGTGATGAGGTCCCCTGATCTGCCTTCTTATAAGGGCTCCTCCTTCGGAGTCCCCAAGGAGTTCTGCCCTCGAGGCCAGTCCCAACGCAAGGCGATCAGGATTCCCAGAGGACAGAGAGTCTTACAGGCATAGGGAACAGCCTGGGCAAAGGTCCTGAGGCCAGAGATGGAGAGTTGTGTCTGGGGAAGTTCCTGGGGTTTGACTCCACTGTGTCAGGTGGTGTTTGCCCACCAGAGGTGAAGCCCTCCATGGTTGGGGCCCCCCTGGAGCTGCTCCTGAGGAAACAGTCAGAGCGCGGGCCTGGTGGTCAGTGCTGAGGGCTGGGGGAGCTGTGCGGGTAGGGGCACCTCCCCTCCCTAGGAACAAGCAGGGAGAGCGGCCCAGTGCCCAGCAGACAGCACTGATGGCTGCAATTTAGCTAAATTGTTTGGAGGCCGAGGCAGGGACGCCATCGGTGCTGGGAAAGTGCCGTAATTAGAACTTTCAGAAATGAAAAGAAACACGGGTCCCACTCTGCACTCTTGATCACTTCAGGATGAACCCTGGGGTCTGAGAGTGAGGTGTGCACACACACACGTGCACACACATGCACACACATGCACATGGCATGTTCTGACTTCTTTGGAATGTGGTACTTTATGAGGGAGGGAGGGAGGAGCGGGGCAGCCTCAGGATCGTGTTTGGGGAGCTCCCTCTGTACACAAATCTCTCGCCTCTGTGCCTTTGGTCAAGCTTTTTCCATGCCTCCAACGCCGTGCCTCCTCACCTCCTCTTGCTGGAATCCCTAGCTGCCTTCCACAGAGAGCTCCTGGGTCCCGATCACTGAGCAGCCTTTGGCTTCCGGGGCTGGCGAGCAGTGACTTACCGCATGATGGTGAGAAGGGATTCCTGCTCCAGGCAGACACCAGACTCATCCCTGCTAGCTTGGCAATCCTTGGTAAGCTCCTTGTGGAAGTCATGTCAAGGAAAGGAGGTCACTTCAAGGCAGTCCTGGGTGCCCCCGATAGGACAGGTGCTCACATGAGGCAGTGCCGCGGGAGGGGATGGGGCGGGGGGATGGGGCTGGCAGGGTGACCACAGCAGCTCTCCATGCTGGTCAGAGCACGCCTGGGCACCTCAGGGCTGTAGAAGAGCCGAGGGTCCCTAGGAGGGCAGTGACCAGCCCCGGGGGAGAGCCCCCAGCCCAGGAGGAGCAGCCGGAGGGGCGAACATGGGAGCTGGATCATGACCAAGATTTCCATGGGGAGGCCGCTGGAGGCCTGCCAGAAAAAGCCAGCCACAAACTTTAGACTGTGTCCCCAGGTGGAAGAGAGGCCTGGAGGCAGCCAGCTCCCTCTACACAGGGCCGCTGCTCAGTTCCAGTGGAGATGGGGAATTATCCGGGTCTGCTGTGAACCAGCTGCCCTCCGGGGTTCCTTCCAGCTCTGGGATTCTGGGGCACAGTGGCTTGGATTTATATCACGGCCCTGTCACTCAAGGTCTGTGTGACCTTGGCCTTAGCTGGGCCCCATGGATGATGAGGGGCTTGGAACAGCGGACTTCCGGGGTCCCCCCAGCTCTAGATCTTATGACCATAATGACTGTCCCCAGTGTGGTCACAGTTTGGGGGGTGATGGAGGGAGCTGCTGACCATGTAAAGACCAGTCCAGCCCTGGCTCTATGGCCCTCTGATAAATAGGTCTGAAGGAGGCTGCTGCCAGTCATTGTGGCCTCCGTGTTCTAACGCCCCCTCTCTGACATTCCCTCTCTCCCCCTAGAACCTGAGCCATTGAGAAACTCTGCCCAGGAGTGAGAACGATAGCGTGATAACACTAGGGCCACAAGCTGGACGCTGTGCCCGGGCTGGAGCCAAGATGGCGGCCCCAGAGCATCCAGCAGCAGCAGAAGTCTCATGACTCGGAGGGATCAGGCCTGGGGGCTAGACCCAGTCCGGCAACAAACTCTTTCACTTCCAACTCTGTGGACTTCACTTTCCTCGGCTGAAAAATGGGGTTTGGGAGTAAATTGCTTCTAAGGTCCCTCCCACCTTTGACATTCTCTGTTCTAAGCTCCCTCCCAGCTCTGACATTCCATGTCTCTAAGATTTTTTTTAAATGGAGGATCGTTGCAGAGAACTCTGTGCTGAGGAATTCATTCCTAATGTCAATTAACCATTTTTAATTCTTTCTCAGTGACCTAGGATGGGCATGGGGAGAAGAATGCATCAGTCGAAGCTTGGTGTTGTATTTATAACAAGGGGACCCATTCGCAAACTTGTAAAGTTGCTGCAAACGAACCTTTGGCCAAGGCTGGAGACACATTTCCTTCCATCTCCAAAGCCAAGTTGTCAACAGCAGGTTTTACAGGCAGGGGATTGAAACCTTTTCCAGCGAAGGGCCAACGCCACCGTGTGGACAGGAAGGTCAGGGTTTAGTGGTCCAACACTGCCCCCTCGTGGCCACATTCCAAAACTCTACCAGAGGGCTGATGGCAGAATTCTGCAATGTCTCCGGGGTGGGGAACCCTGATACTCTCTGCTTGAAGGCCCCTCTAGCTCTGACCTTCCCTGTTATAAGGGCCCTCCCATCCCTGACATTCCCTGTTCTAAGGGCCCTCCCAGCTCTGACTTGCCCTGTTCTGTCCTTCCATGTTCTATGTTCTAAAGTCCCTTTAGGTTCTAACAGTTTGTGTTCAGAACCCTCCCTGCTTCGACATCATGCTCTCCACTAGGAAATCATCAGAACAGTTTCTTCTCTTGTGAGGACAGGCTTTCTGTCGATTCTACAAGTGTTTCCCAAACATTTCTACTCCTTTCATCGCAACCTCCTTGGCATTGGGGGATGGAAGGAGATGGGGTTCCTGCCCCCGCGGAGCTGAGAGTCCAGTAGAAACACCAGGGCAGAAGCACCAGCTTGTATAACAAGATGCCACTTCAGTGAGAGGTCGAGCTGCTGAGACTTGAGTCAGACCTTGAAGGGCAGGTTCTGTGACCAGGCTCCCGGAGGAGCCCGCCCAACCTGCCTGGCGGCTTGGCACGGTCAGGAGTTGACAGAGCCGGACAGATCTCGGGGACCTGGAAAAGTACTCACCCACGGTCATGCCGTCCAGATACCGCTTAATGATGTCGAAAGAGTCCCTGAGGTTCCCTTCCGTGATGTCGAAGATGATGTCAGCGTGGTTGGCGGGGTATGCGGGTGTGACGGCCCGAAGGAAGATGATTTCTGTGGGTGAGGACACATGTCGGGGGGGGAGGCGGCGACTTTGAGCAGAGAAGAGGAGAAAGGGGGCAAGAGCGGAAGCTGATGGCGAGTACTTCGTGCAGAGGAGCTCACAGTGGGCGGCCCTGATTCTCTCAGTAAAGAAAGAGGCAAGGTCGTCGTGAGAGAGAGAGAGGGCCCGGGGGAGCTGTGGGGGTTTCAGGGTGGAGAAGCAAGGTTGAAATGGATTAGGGAGGACTGAAAGCGCTTCTTTGCCGCAGTGAGGACCCAGGCGAGATTAGATATCACGCCTCTGCAGAGAAGCTGGGCAGCCTGTGGCGCAGGACGTCCTCCCTCAGCCGCGTTCAGCGGCTCGTGAGGAGGAGCAGAAGAGGCAGGTGGGGGCTGAGGCCGGGTGAGGTATGGGGGAGGGATCTAAGGGCATAGGACATTGTGGAGTGAAGTGACCAGTTCAGGGTCAAGACTGGGAAAGAAGGAAGATGAAGTCCCAGCAGGGAGGAAGCCCGAGAGAGCGCTGAGGGCAGAGAACGAGGGATGGGAAGCTACGGTGGGAGGGAGGAGCCACCATTCCTTCCCTCTTGGACGTTTATGCAGCGCTTAGAACGCGCTGAACAGTGCGCTCAGGATCAGACTACAAATGCAAAAGCAAAGGCAATCCCTGCCCTCCAGCAGCGTGCATTCTGATAGGGGAGACAACCCCAAAAGGGACCGGTGGCTCTAGAGCCTGTGCTGTAGGGCCTAGAAAGGAGCAGGGATGGCCAGTGAGCCATAGGGGCACACGGGGGGACACACCCCTTCCAGGACTCTGACTAGGGTGCCAGCAACGGAAAGAGGGTGTGGGGGTTGGGGAAGGCTAGCACACACCCTTCCCAGGTGAGGCAGCTGACCAGGGCGGCCAAAGAGTCAAATGAATATGGATGTGGCTGGTGCGTAGAGGCAGCTGTGGGAAGCACACTCCCTGAGAAGGGCAGGGGGAGGAATGAGGGGCTGGGCTGGGGTCAGGAAGGAGATCCAGCCCTAAAAGATTGACCATGGAATAAAAAGTTGTGGATGATGGATGTTGAGATCCAGGGTGGTGAGATTCAGGGTGTGACCATCCCTGAGTGTGGCTGAGGTGGAATGGGGGACGTCCTTGGACTCAGGGGAGGTCCAGGAGTGGGAGGGAATATCCATGTGGATGCCCTGGTACAAGGGCGGGAGTTGTGGGGAAGAAGAAGATGGTAAGCCAGGGAAGGAAGCCCTTGAATTGAGTGCCAAGGCACCCAGGCCTCCTGACATTCCTTCCCATGCTCTTTGGTACAGCAGGAAGAACCTGGGAGGAGGAATTAGGAGATCTGACCCCAGCGCCCCAGCCTTCACACTCCCCACCCCTCCCACCTCTGTATACTCTGCCCAGGAGCAATGCTGAATGGTCCTAGTGGTCCATGGCCCCAAGGACTCAATCCCATGACTTACCTTCAGGCCGAGTAAACTCTCGGAATGTGGGCAGGGAGATCACTGTGTGGGAGATAGTGTGGACGGGGTCCAGCACACAGTTGACATCAATGGGTCGACAAGACTTGATGCAACGGACAGTGTCTGTCTTCTCGTGTCGGATCCTGGGAGAGACAATAGCAGAGAACGTGTCGGGTTGGGAGGACCAGCCAGGGGAGGGACGGGAGAGGGATGTCTCTTGGGGAAAGGATCGCTGAAGTCTAGGACTGAGCCTGGAGTCAGCAGACCTGAGTTCAAATCCTGGTCCTGACAAATGGGCCCACAACTGAACAGGAAAAATGGGGCAGCTGGATGTACTTCAAGACATTGCAAAGCTTCTTTAATGACTCCAAAATTCTCCCAGAATCAAAGCTTCGCCCATCTCTTTAATACCAGAGTCATACCAGCATTGTGGTGTGTCTGCAAATCGTGATACACCCCAGTCATCACTCAGAGGGCATCGGAGAGGGGCCTGGTGGGCATGAGCAGGCTGTGACATGAAGCAAATGGATTTCTATGAAGTCAAGAATGCCACCCAAAATGCCACCCAAGGATGCCACCCAAAAAGTCTACAATGAGGGAGGACCGTGTGTCCCATGTCGAGAGCAGGGTTACTGGCGGAAATTCCCTGTGTTCCGCTCTTGTCCTCATACCAGGAGAGAGTGAGAAAGAGCCCCTGGGGCAACCTCACGGAATGGTAGAGGCTGGGACTGGCCCTTGTGGATGGAGAGGGAACTGCATCCTCAGAGGGTAAGTCCACAACAGTGGTACCAGGGATCCAGCTGAGGGTCTAGGGAAAGAGGCAGCGGATCTCAAAGGTTAAAACAATTGAGAACGTTGGTCCAAAGGGATGGAGAGGTCTCAAGGATGAAATTCCAAGACACCAACATGAGTGAAGAGCGACCAGCGAGGCTAAGCAGGAAGTCAATCAGTCCGCTGGAGTTTTGAGGAGCCATTGTCCATCCCAGGATCCCTTAGAGAGAACCAGAGGACGGTTTCTCAGGCAACATGTCCTTGAACAAGAGTCCACTACACACCATCCCGTTGAGTGTTCACTGAGATTTCACTACAAGATCTCCTGTGATGGGGAGCTCATTACCACTTGAAACAGCCAAGGGCAGTTTAGCCTAATTCTTGCTGTTAGGAAGCTTTTCCTTGAGACCTAATCTGTGCCCTCTGAACTTCTATCCCTGCTCCACGTTCTGCATTCTGGGACCAAGTAGGTTAAGTTCCATTTCCCTTTCATGAGATGGCCCTTTAAATACTTGAACACGGTGTATATTAACTATATATCCCCAATTCCTTCAAGCAGTCCTGGTCCGGCACAGTCTCCGAGCCTCACCTTCCAGGTGCACGTCCCCTGGATACAGTTCCATTTTCACTGTCCCTCTTAAAATGAAGCACCCAGAACCAACCACAGTCCTCTGGCCATTGGCTGAGCCAGATGGTGGCATTGCCACCTCCCTTCTCGGACACTATGCGCTTGTTAGAAAGGAAGACACCACGTTCTTGTTCAGGAATTGTAGCTCCCTCGTTATTTGGAGAACTCTTCTGATACCATAACACCTACAAGTTACATCAAGCTTGTTCTGCAACATAATCCTGGGTTGTTTAAAATTATTTCTGCCTGATCTGCCTTGTTTTGGCCATTCCGTGGACTCCAGGTCCAGAATCATATTGCATGATTCTGGTTTTCCCTACAAAGGTTACCACTGTCATACAGAACATGACCATCTTTGGGAGACTGCCCCCAAAGAGTTTATCAGGCTGGTTCTGCTGGTTGGTGGAGGTTTGGCAAGAGGGGCGCCTTTTCTACTGGGGACTCCAGTGGAATCTCTGTCGACCAGGGGACTCCCAAGAGAAGCTTGGCTTCCTGCGTGAAGCTGACCCCCTAGACACTGGAGTGTCTGTGCATCTCAATGGGAGCCAGGAAATGTTATTGTTATTTCTTAAATCACAGAACTGCGTGTGGCCAGACCACATGGTCCACATCAGAATGTGTGTACCTGGCAAACAGTCGGTGCTTAATCAATGCTTGTCAATTGCTTGGTTGATAGCCTGTCAGATCTTCCATATAGAGTATCTACTGGGTGCAGGGAGTTGGGGAAGGGAGCTGGAGAGGCTAAGAGGGGCTCTTTTGATTCTTTTACTACTCCATGGGTGACACTTTCCCTCTGTTGTCCTTCCCACTTGCTGCATGACCCCATGCCGTCTTTTCTAGTCATATGTGCCTTGCAGAACACCAGGGATGTCACTTCTTGAGTCTTTGGTATAACTGACGGTCATTAACAGAATGGAAGGTCCCTGAGGGCAGAGGCTGTCTCACTTTTATGTTTGCATCCACAGCACCCACATGCTGGGCATGGGGCACACACAATCATGAGTGCTCGGCCCGGGGGACACAAGATCTATTCCCCCCTCCCCCTCTGCTGGTCCCATCTCCAGAATTCTGACTGTCCATAGCATCACCAGAGGAATCACACTTCCATTTGTCATGTATAATAGTCAAACTAGGTTCAAGTCTCTCCTTGTCCTGGCTGTGCCCCACCCTGAGCAAGCTGATCCAGTGCCAGAGGTGGCTCTCTGTTTGCCAAAGTGGGTGCTGACTGGCGTTGGTAGACAGAGTTCCCCCTCCTGGAAGTTCTACTTACCAATGAATTCACAGGTCTGGGCCAAGAAAATTACATGGATACGGTAACCAATAGAAGGGTTCCTGGTAGCTAGAAACAGGCTGTCTCCTATCACCAATCAATACTTTTGTAAAGTAAGTGTCAGGACATGAAGTGCCAGAAAATGACCTGGGCCAGACCCAGACCTATAAGGAGAACTGAGTGCAGATGATGGAGGCTGGCTATCCAGACGTGGTCCAGTCCTGGTGCAAACACCTGGACAACACCTCAGCCTGGACCAAGAGCATCACTAATGGCCTACCTGGCCACTCTCCCACCTTCAGGAGAGTCACCTCTCTCTGCATGGATGGAGGAAACCAGCAGGGACGGTCACCAAATGCCCCCATCTCTCCCACCTCACCATTAACTGAAGCAAGTAGAGGAAAGCAGATTCCATTGGGCAGATTACTGGTGTGGAAAAAACAAACCGTGGCTCTCATGTGGAGGATCTCTGTTCTTGGGCCCCTCTCAGTTCCTGATCCTAAAATGCCCAATTTCTTCAACCTCTACCAAGGACACATTGCTCTAAGGTCAGCCTGTCTCTCTGCTTTGAAGCCTAGAACCTGAGGCTGAGCCTGACTGAATCCTGCATAAAAACCACAGTAGGGCAGGGGGGATTGATGTCCACCCCGTCTTCATCGCTGCTGCTGCCTGGGACAGTAAGAGCCATCTCATTCAGGGACTGGGGAGGTTGGCCTGGCCT